GACCTGCCCTGCGAGGAGCAGCAGATGTTCCGGGCCAGCGCCCGGCCCCGCGGCCCATGGACGAGTCGCTGGATTGAGCTCGCCCTGCGCTGGATCCGAGGCGAGGGCCGCCGAGCGCCCGCGGGCATCGGCGCGATGCGCGCCCGAGGCAACGGGTGGATCAACAGGCTCAAGGAGGCCAGCGACAATGATGTGGCCAAGGCAAAGACCAAGGTCAACGGCAAGGCCAAGTCCAAGCCCTTCAAGGGCCCCGCGGCAGTCGAGCCGAAGCGCGCCACCTTCGAGGAGGCAAGCGCTGCCGCCCAGGCGCGCACCAAGGGCCCCCCGCGCGAGGGCGGCTCCAAAGGGCGCCGAGCCTGCATGGGCGAGTGGTTCGAAGTCGTGCGCAAGAAAGGTTCACTGGCCAGAAGCGCCAAGGACCTCTCTTGCGCCGGCAAGTTGTAGCCGCGAGCCTCGAGATCTCCCGAGTCAGTCCTGTGCCAAGTTCTACGAGGTCAGTCTACGCGAGCGATCGGGATCGCCATCATCATCGCCATCATCATCATGACGCAACCTTCGCCGGGAAAGCCGCTGAGCATCCCCGCCACACCCCCGACATTTAGTATCCCCAGAGGGTTATTATCGGGGGCGCAGGGTTAGTGCCCACATGGGCGTTTAGCGTTGGCTAGTTTTGCGCCCCGCGCATCCCGCCCACGAAGTTCGAACGAAATCATCCTCCTTCTCATTATCCTCCTGGATCCATATCCTTTTCCTCGATCATCGATGCTCCTCGTATCCCCTCGTATTTTGTTGTCGTCGTCCAGAGCTTCCTCTTCCATTCCTTTTCCATGGAACTAGTTCCATCCTGTCGCATCCCCAGGCGTGTCGGAAGGGCGCGCCAGGCGTTTTGCCTGAGACTTCCTCATAGTTTATGATCTTGAAGCTTAAGCTTTGCACCGCGCACGCTCGTTTGCAACGCGTGCAGTAGTTTCAAGGGTTCGTAGGGTTGAAATCCCAACATTGGTGTTTTCGTACGACTGAGAAGCGTCAGGACGCGACAGTCACGTTGATTCGGGGTGTTGAAGTCCCAACGGGCGGTGTTCTGGCACGATTTAGCGATTTAGGATTGCCAGGGCGCAAGGGTCACGTTGATTCGCATTGTTGAAGTTCCAGGATTAGTGTTTTGGCATGATAGGGGGATTCTCAGACGTTTGTCTTTCAATTGGGCACTTCCCGCAATGAAAAACACAATCTTGGGACCTCCTAAGAGAGAGCGGGACATTTTGGGGTGGCGGTCTGGGGGGCCGCCGCGCGGCACGATTTACTTCCGAGGTGCGCGTTGCAACGCGGGTGGGGGTGAGAAGGAGGGCGATATATATATATATATATATATATATATATATATATATATATATATATATATATATATATTATATATAATATATATATATATTATATATATATATCGAGAGAGAGAGAGAGGGAGAGAGAGAGAGAGAGAAATAGAGAGAGAGAGAGCGGCGCGGTATGGGGGGGGGAGAGGGAAGGAGTGGGAGAGGGAGGAAAGGACGAGAGGCCATAACGCCAAATTGGAAAAAAACATGCACGGCCATCCAGTTTGTTTGTTGTTTGTTCCCTTTTTTTTTGTTCCCCCCCCCAGGCGCTCCCCAGATACCCCCCGTCCCTCTGACGCCCCAATGCCAAGCACGATCGCCCAATGCCAAGCACGAGACATCAATGCCAGTCCCCGACGAGCACGCCAGATCAATGCCACGCACGGCAAAGCAATGCCAAGCACGACCAACCAATACCAAGCAATGCCAGGCACGAGCCGCCTGTGGATCACCACCTGGGTGGCTGGCCCACCAATGGAATTGTCTTGGGGGCCTGGTCCACGTACCAACACCACACACACAAGCACACTTTTTTTTGTTTTTTCCTCTCTCTCTCTCAAACGCACACACACGCACACACACGCACACACACACACACACACACCAACACCACACCACCACCACCGCCACCACCACCAAAACCACCACCACCACCACTACCACCACCACCACCATCATCACACACTCACGCACGCATGCAAGCCCTGAGTGGAGGGTCTACAATTGGGCGTCCTTGGAGTGGACGGCAATGGGCCAACCAGACAGTGGAGGGTCCAACAGTGGGCAACCCTTGGGGTGGACGGACACCGTCAGTGGACCACTCCTGGGTGGCTGGCTTACCAATGGAGTTCCCCTGGGGTGACTGGCCCACCAGCGGACCTCCCCCCACCCAACAAGAAAAAACGTGCGCGGCGCTAAGGCGAGAATCAGATTTTGGAGAGAATGTGCGCGGCGCTACAGCGAGAGGCCGAAATTGAAAAAATGTGGCTCCCCAGACCGCCACCCCAGAATCCCCCGCCGTCGAGAACGGGACATGGAAGGAGGTTATGTGTTGCGCCATCGTTGATGCGTCTTGGATATGTGTTGGTCGTCCTCTCTTCCTCCTGCTCCTATTCCTGTTTTCCTCCTCCTCCTCTTCCTCCCCTTCCCCGCGGCGTTGAAGTCCAGGATTGTTTTTTTGCATGATGGGGGGTTGTCAAGCGTTTGTTCTTTAATGGGGCATTTCCCGCAATGAGAAACAATTACTAGGGACCTCTAATGAGGGAGCATGGAGGGAGGTTATGTATTGCACTATCGTTGATGCGTCTTGGATGTACGCTGTTTCTCTCCTCCTCCTCCTCCTCCTCCTTTCCCTCCTCGGCAAGGGATCTCGGAGGATGGCATCTGTCGCGGCCTGAGCTGCAGATCTGGTCTTTACCAAGTGTTGGCCGCGCGATGGCGCGAAGATCATCGTGCTGCGCTAAGCTCGAGGCGCCTGCACTCCTCCCTTCGCCCTCGTCGTCGTCGTCGTCGTCGCAGGCGTCGTCGTCGTCGTCGTCGTCGGTTGTCGTTGTCTTCGTCGTCGTCGCCGTCGCGCGAACATTATCTTTCGGAGGTCCGCACGGATTTGTGCTGTCGGCGCCGGACGCCCACCGGCGGCTTTTTCGTGCGCTTCCCCTGACGCGCGCCCCGCGCCCACAGCACGGGGGGGGGAGGCCCGCGCCGACCCCGCAGATCCGCGCGAGCCTTCGAGAGTGTTTTTGTTTCTGCCGGCTGTGGCTCCCCAGAGGGGGGGCCCAGGGGAGGGGTGGGTCTGGGAAGGGGAGGAGAGGGGAGGACCTGAGATGGGAAGGGGAGGTTAGGGGATGTTAGGGAAGGAGATGGAAGGGAGATGGGAGGATCTCAGATCCTCCCCAGGGAGGGGAGGAATTCAGAAGGAGCCGGTGCCGATGCCGCTGTCTTCCTCTTCGCCGCGGCCGGATGCGCTTCGGAGTCCTGTTTAGAACGCAGCCCAGGCGAGGTCCGGGGAGCAATTGTATCGGGTATCGGTATATATTGGGGAGGCGGAGGAGGAGGAGGAGGCATGTGCCAGCAGGTTACAAGGTTGTCAGGATTGTCCTGTGGGCTTTAGGGCGTTCCAGTAGGAGGTGTGTGGAGGAGCAGCAGGAGGAGGAGCAAGATGATGCGATCCAGAGGAAACTCAGGATGCACCAACAGTGTTGCAGTACACACTCCCGTCCCAAGTTCCCTCTTCATACTTCATTGCAAGCGTCCCTTCTCACTACGGGGAATACCTCTTTGAAAGCCGAGCCCCTTCGGGGGCTTGCCATTCAGGCGAGAGCAGTGCTTTCTCGTTTTGAAAACAGGCTCCCTCTTCGAGCTATAGGTGGCGCGAAGAGTTGAAACCATACAGTTCAAGGAATTGACAAGTTTTGAAACGAAGCTGCCCTCCATCCGTGCGACTAGTGCGCAAGGTTAGACCTGGGGGCACGCATTTTGAAGAAAACCCTAGCGAGATGTTGACGAGGACCACCCTCCATTGTCAGAAAAAAACGGTTGCGCATGTGTATTTTCATTGTTTTGCAGTTTGAAGGACCTCAAGCAAACGAATCACTTGAAAGGAACCTTTATGTATCCGTGTACTTGCTGGGAACCAATGTGCGCGAACTGTGGGAACGAATATATGCCCTCCACCTCTTCGAAACTTTGAGACAAATGTGCGTGGCGCTAAGACGAGATCCATATTTTAAAAACGGTACGCCCTCCATCTTTGCAATTCGAGGGGATGATGAAGACGAACATACGCGGCGCTGAGGCGGGAGCCCCATTTTGAAGACCATGTGCCCTCCATCTGAGTAGTTGTTGGTAATTTCAAGCTTCCAGATCATGAGCGGCGAGGAAGTCTCAGTCGAAACGCCCAACCCACCCTGTTGATACGTCTAGTGCGACGAGGAGTCAGTTATAAGGAGTAAGGATGGAGGAGGAGGAGGAGGAGGAGGAGGAGGAGGAATGAAGCAGGAGGCGGGCGAGGGTGGAGGGAGATGAGGGAGCACGGAAGGAGAGGAGGGAGGTAATGAAGAGGACATCGAGGAGAGCGGAAAGAGGGAAAGGGGGGAGGGGGGAGGAGGGAGGGGCAGGAGGAGGAGAAACAGGACGTGGAGGACGTGCAGGAGGTGGAGGAGGAGGAGGAGGAGCAGGAGGAGCAGGAGGACAGCGATGAGGAGGACGCCGAGGACGAGGACGATATTTTTGCGATGTCCTTCAGCGGTACATGACCCGTCAACTCAATGCTTGTATGGGTGGTGGTGCACGCGAACGCGAATCTACTCATCAGGGAGGAGTGAGGGGAGGCGAGGAGTACGGAGGCATGATGTGGAGGAGAAGGAGGAGGTGGAGGAGAGAGATGGGAGAGAGGGAAGGGGGAGGGGGAGGAGGAGCAATGCAAAGGGGGGAAGGGGCAGGAGGAGGATGAGGATGAGAAGGAAGATGAGAAGGAGGAGGCGGAGGAGGAGGAGGAGATGGAGGTGGAGGAGGAGGTGGAGGAGGAGGAGGAGGAGGAGCTGGAGTAGCAGGAGGAGGAAGTGGAGGAGGGAGGCGCAGGAGGCATGCTGTCCTGGCGGGCGCGCTGTCGAGTGAGTCCGACCTAAG